TGACCAATGAGAGCATGTGTTGCTAGCTATATAGGCTGTATAATTATTGCTTATAAACCACTTCACTACAATTGACAGTTTCTCTTTACTCATACTTTCTGTTTGTAGATTGGAATTAAGTTCAATCAATTTAACAATAATTTTGTCGTTAACACAGTGACAGCATACAGTCCGCTTGGATCCCCTGGCCGCCCACAGGCTAAACAAGAAGACTGGAGTCTACTGCATGACCCAAAGATAGAGGAAATTGCCAACGAATATGGAAAGTCTCCTGCTCAAGTCTGTATTCGCTTTCAGATACAGAGGGGTGTCTCTGTTATACCTAAAAGTGTCACACCTGCCCACATTCAAAGCAACTTTGAAGTAAGCTTTCCATATATCAAGATTATGTGGGATTGTTTACACAATCAATAGGCCACACTTTCTTTTGGTTCAGCAGTGTAAGAACTCAGGCAAGATCTTAAGACAATATGGGAAAAGTTTATAAATGCACACTTGCGGCTCATGATTTACAAACTTATTAAGTGTTATACCTGCACTGCAAGGGAGTTATTGCTCCTGCAGGAAAACTGTTTAGAAAGTGTGATCTGTTGCTTTCATGAAACAGCTTTATATGGGTTTATTGGGTGAAAGGGCAGTAGCTTATTGACCAATCAGAGTGTGCATGATAATTCACTTATTTTGAATTGTCAGCATAGACCAAGACCTGTATCAGTTTATTGTTTGTCTGCAGTCTCCACAGTGTCAATATCACAAATGACCCTGCAATAAGCATGCCGGTAATTACCAGTAAATAAGTGAATACATGCCAAAACTAATCTAAAGAATTATGAAATAAAAAAACATGGCAACCAGATGGGCAATCAGACATGGTTTGATGCTACTCTGGTTTGCAGATTTAATGAGAGTAACTGAAGAAGTTAGTCCAGTGCCTTCATCAGGGGTGATCATCACCCCTGATGAAGGCACTAGACAGGAGTGTTGAAACGTTGGATCTATGAATTGCAACTTCTTCGGTTATATTCATTAAATCTGTAAACCAGAGTAGCATCAAACCATGGCCAAAAAACATGTATTAAGCAAAAGCAGAGGAAGAATGTTACACATTGTATTTGTCAGTCAAGCTATGTATTGCCACCCACACATGGTTCTTCTTCATGTTTTGGTTTGAATCAAGCTGATGGTTTTTATCTTTTCAAATTGGCTTGATACTCATTGAAACAAACAATATTTTAGCAATTATGAGCAAAAGGTAACAACATAACATTCCTTTAAACATATGCAGGTCTTTGATTTCATCCTCTCTGATGAAGACATGAGGCTCATTGAATCCATCAACAAATCTTGGAGAGCTCTTATTCCCATGAAAGAAGTAAGTGGTACTGTCCCCTCCTTCCCGACTCTGTCCTCGCTTTCCAACTCCTCCCTGCCACGTTTTTCTCTGTTTTACTCAATCACTCACCACTCTCTGACCTTGCCTGTTCTTCATACAGAGACAGCAAAGCATTCTGAAACTTAGTGGGTGGTCCATCCTGCACCATGCTAAACCTTAGGCCATACTTTTACTCTGAAGCTTCCCTTCATGGCTGTGGCATGGTTTGTTGGCTCATACCACCCCTATGGCATTCTCATTAGTGTCCACTTATTTCCCTCCCCCCCCGGCTCTGAAATATTCTTATTGACCTCCCCCCCCGGCTCTGAAATATTCTTATTGACCTCTCCCCCCCCCTTAAAAAAATATATGGATATATATATATAAAAATAAATAAATAAATAAAGTGCCCTAATGAAAGAATTTCTCTTGCCCGATATTTTTATTTATTCTTATCATGTGCCTGCCCCATGAGATATTGATACTGTACCTTAATCACTACTAGGATTGAAAGAACAAACGGGCTATATGGCTGGAAGAGAAAATTGCACGCTAGAGGCTTTGCTCAAGAGTTAACCTTTTTTCTTTTTCACCTTTTTTTTTTCCAGGTTGACGGTAAGAAAGTCCCTCGAGATAGTGCTCATCCTCATTATCCCTTCAATATTCCATTTTAATATTTGTCAGAACTATATTTGTATTACAAACTCTAAACAGATGGACTCAGAGTCATTGCCACTGTATTGTATATTTATTTAAGTAAAAAATTGGAAAAAAATATTTGTGCTGTAGAAAAATTATTTGTGGTGGTCAATTCATTTTATAAACTCATTTGATCAAACACACTTATCTTGTGACATATAATGAGTTTGAGTCGACAGGTGCATTAATTCTAATCGCGCTTAATTGTGTTAAGGGAGAAGAGCAATCAAGATTTTAATCGTTTTTAGTTTTGCCAACACACCTTTTATAGGATGCACGACACAGGCATTGACATGCCAGTCATTTTTCGCTTGTTCGTTGTCCTACCAACTTGAGGGAACTATGCGATAAAGGGGATAACTGAGGAAACTCTGGTGCTGCGTTGGTTGGGGTTATTTCAAAAAAGTGTGGTTACACCAATACTCGAAACGTCAGCTGCAGAAACTCTTTATGATGGCCAATTTATATTACAAACTCATTTCATCAAATCCAATTATCTTGTGACACTTAATGAGTTTGAGTCGACAGGTGTGTTATTTCTAATCGCGCTAAATTGTGCTAAGGGAGAGCAGCAATCAAGATTTTAATCGTTTTTATTTTTGCCAACACCCCTTTCACAGCATGCACGACACAGGCATCGACATGCCAGTGTTATCACCATGACAATTATCGCTGCTATGGCAACAAGGAAAGCTATGACGTCAAGTGAGTAGTACTGGTACCAGGCCATGTTAAACACCTGAGCTCTGAGGTGTTGGGCTCCACCATGTCTGAGTACATACTCGATCCAGTCACCAGCTTTCTCCAGGGAGGTCCGTGGACTGTCTTTCATTAGACGGGAAATGCGCATGGCAGTTTCCTTGAATCTGAAATAAAACAATTCGAAAATTATTGGAAGGATTGGCCGATGCACCCAATGTGTAACCTCTCAGAGGCCCGGGAGAGCGATTTAAAGAGGGGATTTGAATCCTAAATGGCTGATACGAGGGTCATCTATATCATCAGGCAAGAAATGCGTTCGGCTCATTACTTGAATCCCAAAAAGATGTGACGAGGTTTTCGGGGAAGAACAAGTATTTTTGTTGTTGTCAAGGTAAAATAAAAAAGCATTAAGAATTGATTGGAAATTTGCAAGTCTTGAAATAATTGTACGTTCTCTGAGCCAGGGAAACTACAAGGAAAGTGATTCCTAACGCAGGCATTTTATTCATGGAAAGAAATAACGTAGAAATTTGAATCCAAACGAGTGTAGCGATATTTTTTTGAAAATACCTTGGTTCATTCATCACGAGCTGTATAGCCTCAAAGAGCTCTTCAGCATTCATAGTTTGATGATTTAAAACTGTTGCTATTCCAAAGTACTCTGCTTTTCTGGCATTAGAGAAATGGTCTATAAACAACGGAACAGCCACCACAGGCACCCCATGATATGCTGATTCATAGTAGCTGTTAGTTCCGGCGTGAGACACAAAAGCTTTGATATCCCTGTGAGCCAACAGATCATTCTGTGGTATCCAATTCACTACTTTGATATTTGGACCGACAGATGACGGAATGTAGCCTGAAAAGGAATTTATAAACAAATATTAGTGGAACAATTTTCAATTGCGTGTCGCTAGTAATTCCTTATTGCTTTGGTTTAGCTTTACTAGACTCTGATTGGTCCAGAAAAGTCACTGCACCTTCTCAACCATGAAATCAGGTGCACAACGAGAACCAATTGTAATTTCGTCACTCGTGTTTTCCCGCGTTTCACGAATTTTGTGCTTCTCATTGGCTAACGATGATGTCGTCTTAACCTCCAATTGGCTCTTGTGATTACTTGGTTGTAGTTTCCGAAACTCAACTAAAGCTGTTGTAAGTGGACTCAGCGTTATGCTGGCGGACACCGTGAACTAAGCTGACACCAAATGAGAAGTTTTAAAATGGTGTCAAAGTCAGTTTTACATAAACGCGTACAAAAATAGTGATATGAACCGACGTTTCGGAGTCTTCAGGACGCCTCGGTCAGGGTAAATGTTAGAATAACGAATTCTGCGAGTGTTATCCTTACCTAATCAATGGCGTTGTTAAGACTCCGAAACGCCGGTTCATATCGCTATTTTTTTAGTGTTTATGTATAACCAAATCTTTATTGATAACAAAGTTAGTTTATAGGAGATAACACGACATCTTAGACTAAGATGTTTAAACAACGCATTTTGTGCCACAGACTAGAAAACGCGAGTGCGGCTTTTAAATTACCTTTATGTTTCCAGATGATTTTCTGCTTCAACTTTCCAAAAGCCGCTGCCAAAACATCGATCGTCCTGTTAGAAATAGTCATTTTCGCATACGATCCAAAAGAGGCAATGATAAACCCTTGTCCCCCTGAATCCTTAATAAAATCTGCCAAATCAGGGGGGAGTGGGTCTGGTTCAGGTTTGACAGCGATGGGACCCAATATGATTTGACCTGCAGGAAAATAAGCAGAGATACAGAGCTAAAAAGAATCAATACGAACAGCACTATTGACTTGGATTCTAATGAAAACGACTTATAGTGACCTCGGAAAGCTAGTTTACTATATAAACGAGTTATTCTCGACATTTGTACGAGAAAGGAACCGAGAAAAACGACTTAACTCAGCTGACCATCACGACCGACTTACGCTATGTGGCTCTTCCAGCCAATGACGTTAAGGCTAAACTAACCAATCGCTCTTCACGAACCAGACTTGTTACACTTGACTTACAAAGATTAATTTTTGGACTCAAATTATGACTACCGCTTAGAATTTTGAAACACGTGTAGCCACCACTATCGACAACAGTTCTTCTCAGGACCACTGTTACCCGAACGATCAGTCCACAAGTTTGACTATTTCCCCTCTGTTAAAACCATTTAATGTTATATTACGGTCTAAGTACTAGTGATAACTGTTGAGCATACCTGGTAGAAGAGGTTGTGGACACTCAACCGCATAATGACTGTTAAAAAGCACAAGTTCAGCGCTGGCAACAGCTTCACGGTAGCTTACTTCAGGAGTAATATTGTATTTTTCCTTCAGAGAGCTGTAGGATCTGACAGCCAAAGTTTGCAATACAAACTGAAAAATGTTGACCACAAAAAAGTTTATCACACGCTCTGTAAATGACATTTCACAGGAAAACGGTAACAGACGTGAAGGAACGTATGATGAAGGCATTGGCACCTTGTACAGAGAACTGTCTGGATTGCTCGGAGGATTTGAAAAAATGGCCACATTGGGAATGTCGAGGAGTTCAGCCACCAGAGTAGCACAAAGCCCCAAACTTTCGTACACTATCAAGTCATAGTCCCTTATTTCATGAAGTATCTCTGTGTCGTTCAGCAATGACTCACACGTGACTCTCGTTATTTCGATGAGGTTGGTTAATCCTTTCCACATGCTCTCCTCAATAGAAGTTTTTATCACGAGTATCTCGCCATCTTTTTTAACATATGGTATTTTGAACGTCCTGTGGAGAACCTTTTGCTCAGTGCTCGGTGGCTCGTCGGAATAAGCGGGTTTAATAAGCACCACCTGCAGCAGTAAGGACATTAAAAGCCATGAGCCTCCATTTGGCGACAAAATGTGCCCTGATGTTTGTGTGCAAACATTATCTGATTTGAGAAGTAAACAATTTTTCGAGAGAGGCTTGGGGAAAACTTCAAGCTTCTTGTAATAGTAGACGCAAGATTTTCAACTTAGGGAGTATTGCCGAGGGTCTGATTGTATCTCGACATATGACTCACCCCGCGAAACTTCTTCGCGATAAGTGTTTTCTCATGAATAGCGCTTCGGTCTGGACGCTCTTGATTAACTAACATAGTTTTGGTTTTTTTCGTTAATGGATGCTTTTGTAGTCTTAAAAAAAATTCCTGCAAACATAACATGTCAGATCAACACGCCGGCCCAATATGCTAAGTAAATGTTGATTAATGCAACATTATACAAAATGATGTTGTCTTTTTTTCTTTTTGTTTTAGAAGATATCACGCAATGATAAGCTGTGAAAGGACGAAGGGACCAAACGTCGAAACATTGTTGGACGAGATGGGGTTTGGTGGTGAACGAAGAAGAAGAAATTCTGAACGGCCAAAACCTTTACAAACGGACGAAAGCAAAGTCCGAACACATATCATAGCTCTTTTACCATGTTTGCTGGGCTGCAATAACGCTGGTTTGCATCACATGCATAGATAGAGGTCGAAATAAGTAAGATGTGAAAGATCGTTTAATATAAAAACGTCAAATCAAAAGGCGCACAATACACTTGACCATTCGACATAAATTATTGCTCTCCTTTTCACCTCCATGCAAGCTATCAAAGAAATTCTAAATAGCCTCGCGTCCTGTCACGGTTATCATGGGGGAAATTATTTAAAAAAACGGGTCAACTGTTGGAAAATGACATCAAATTTTGGTTTGACGGCATTCAGTAGTGCGTTTTATTAGTCTTTCCAACATCGAATTCTAACACCAAAGCCGTTCGAGTTATCTGTCGAGCAGCATTAAATCTAGTGGCATAAGATAAACCATCTAATATTTTGCAGCTCTGTTTCGCAACGCGAACAAACTCTAGTCGAAGAAATAATTAGGAAATCGAAAATGTGCGAATGGACGAGTTTTTTAAGCAATTCAATTTCAGACCATAGGTTGGCAAATTTTCAGAATTAGGGAGGTTTTTCGGTATGATAATTTTTCCACTTTTCAGCTACCTATAACCCTTACCCTAACCATAACATCAAAGCGCACACGAAGCCGCCAGCTATTCAGGTAAGTTACGTGATGAGTCGGTAAATATTCATCTCAAGCTCCGTAAATAACCAACAGATATTGTTCGATCGACCTTACCTCATGCCCTCGTGAAACCAACTCCTCCATAACTTTCTTCAAGTTGAAATAGTGAGATCCTGACGCTACTCCGCTAAAACCTGCAATCTTCGCCGAATAGGACAGATGCATCGATATAAACGAAAGAAGAAGAATCAACGATGTTTTCAGCGCCATCTTGTCTCTGAGTTCTAAGTTGTGAGAAGTCACGCGGTCGTCACAAGTTTCCCCATTTAGTATCTGGGCAACCGAGCTCGATTCATGTTCGCCGTACTCGAATAGCAATTCGAGTACCATTTCAAACCAACCTCGGTTCAACGAGCTCGAAATGCAGTCAATTCTATTCGAGCTCGGGACCACATTTAGTATCTGGGCAACCGAGCTCGATTCATGTTCGCCGTACTCGAATAGCAATTCGAGTACCATTTCAAACCAACCTCGGTTCAACGAGCTCGAAATGCAGTCAATTCTATTCGAGCTCGATTCAACTATATCGTGCTCGATTAAAAAGACGAGCTCGACGAACTCAATCTGCTCTTATCGACCTCAGTTATTTTTATCGAGCTCGGTTTGCCACGTATTCTATCGAGCACGGTTTGCCTCGCATTCTATAGGTTTCATATCGAGCTCGATTTGGTATCGAGCTCAGTTTAATCTTCATTCAGCAAATGAGAGGTAATCTGGTACCAAGACTTGGGAGGGAGCATGGGACGAGCGAGAGTGGCCATGTTTCTGGCAAATTTGTCGAGTTTAGTTCGTGAATTCGGGACTTTTTAGGAGTATGTTTTCGGTTGAATTCGAAAGAAATTAAGAAGAGTGACAGAAGAAGAGCAAAGAATGATTTATACTGCTAAGGAGATGAAGGAAATGACACTAAGGTGAGCATTGGCTCTTTACGGGAGGGTGTTCCGAGTTGCTGGTTCATAGTTTGTAGTAACGTTTTGTTCAGTTTCAAACTTAAGCTCAATCCTGGAGTGTACGTTTCTCGGTTATTTTAAATCTCAGTTGTGTAATAAGAAACTGTCTCCCTCCATTTTACCAACCCCGAAAACCCCACAAAAAAGTATACATAACAACATGCAACAATACACACATTCTATTTTTATTTTATGAGCTCAATACACTTTCGTGTTTCTATTTTAATTCGTCTTTTGTAACAAGGAAAAGGAACAGAACTCTAATGAAATATGAAAATCTTTTGGAGAATATAACAAAAAAAAGTCTGAAAAGTAATGTATGTTCATCCCTTGCAATCAAATATTAAGAAGAATATTATTAACTCTACTGAACATATGCATTATCAGAGACCATGGTTGATTGACGACATTTCACGAAATTAAGAAAGTGTGGCAGGCTACTGTAATTGTTAAAAGAAGCTAAAGTACAGTTCAAGCTGTGTTTATCAGTGAGAGAAATGTATTTTTGAATCCAGATTGATTAAATGTTGCTAGATGAAGACAGATTTGCCAATTTTGTGAAAAGTGAGTAATTTTCAGGAATTAGTTTGATAGTTGAGAGCAAAGAGGTTTCCATTACTAACAGGTCTTAAAATGTTCAATCCAGTTATGAATGTGTTAATAGATCCACCAAAAAGCCATTAAACAACTGCAACAGTTCACTTTTAACAAAATGATCAATGCTTGTTGATTCTACCTTAGTTTTTAAACGGCCTGACCTAACCCTCTTTATAGACTGCAAAAACCATATTCTTAATTTGCAGTCATGACAAAAAAAATAAGCAAGACATTTATGACTGTTAAGTAAGAGGTTAATAAAAATGCCAGTTGACTTTTTTTAATAACTGAATTGAACATTTTATGACCTGTTCATGAAATTAGTACAAGTTGAAGTAGTAAATAATAAATTTAACATCAAGGCTGCCATTTCCGTCCAGTAGACTGTCCACATTTGGTATCCTCCTACCCCACATTTCTCCTTCCTTCAGGGACACTATGTCCGAGTCTAGCACTTGCTCATTGTCACTTCCAGGGGCCATTACAATTCTTCAAAAAGAAAATAGAATATATATTTACATATCATTACATTGTTCCACTCAACAATCATTGTGTATTTTTATGCCAGATATCCGTATTGTCTCTCAGCTTAAACAGGAGTAGTACATGGGTGGGTTCGGCTTTGAACACAGCAGTTAGCAAGTTCTGGCACAGTCATACACAAATAGGTACAATGAAATGTTTTTTTCATGCAACACACAGACAGCAAATTTAGTGTTATGCATCATTTCTTCTAAAGCCCCCTTAGTTATAAAGGTGATTTTTTTTCAAACATAATATCAATTTCCCTTTGACAATCTATGAACAAATTCTCATAACCTTTTCTCCTGGTTTAGTATAATTCGATTTGTGATGAAAATAGTGTTGGTCACTCTTGGGACATGAAAGAAGGCAAAGGTAGACTCACTTTCTTATTACACAACTGAGATTTAAAATAACCGAGAAACGTACACTCCAGGATTGAGCTTAAGTTTGAAACTGAACAAAATGTTACTAGAAACTATGAACCAGCAACTCGGAACACCCTCCCGTAAAGAGCCAATGCTCACCTTAGTGTCATTTCCTTCATCTCCTTAGCAGTATAAATCATTCTTTGCTCTTCTTCTGCCACTCTTCTTCTTTTTTTTCGAATTCGACCGAAAACATACTCCTAAAAAGTCCCGAATTCACGAACTAAACTCGACAAATTTGCCAGAAACATGGCCACTCTCGCTCGTCCCATGCTCCCTCCCAAGTCTTGGTACCAGATTACCTCTCATTTGCTGAATGAAGATTAAACCGAGCTCGATGCCAAATCGAGCTCAATATGAAACCTATAGAATGCGAGGCAAACCGTGCTCGATAGAATACGTGGCAAACCGAGCTCGATAAAAATAACTGAGGTCGATAAGAGCAGATTGAGTTCGTCGAGCTCGTCTTTTTAATCGAGCACGATATAGTTGAATCGAGCTCGAATAGAATTGACTGCATTTCGAGCTCGTTGAACCGAAGTTGGTTTGAAATGGTACTCGAATTGCTATTCGAGTACGGTGAACATGAATCGAGCTCGGTTGCCCAGATACTAAATGTGGTCCAACGTCGTTTGCTTATCGAGCAGGAATGGTAATCGAGTACGACAAATCGATATCGAGCTCGGTTGCCCAGAAACAAATATTGATCCCGAATAGCAATTCGAGTACCATTTCAAACCAACCTCGGTTCAACGAGCTCGAAATGCAGTCAATTCTATTCGAGCTCGATTCAACTATATCGTGCTCGATTACAAAGACGAGCTCGACGAACTCAATCTGCTCTTATCGACCTCAGTTATTTTTATCGAGCTCGGTTTGCCACGTTTTCTATCGAGCTCGGTTAAATCTTCATTCAGCAAATGAGAGGTAATCTGGTACCAAGACTTGGGAGGGAGCATGGGACGAGCGAGAGTGGCCATGTTTCTGGCAAATTTGTCGAGTTTAGTTCGTGAATTCGGGACTTTTTAGGAGTATGTTTTCGGTCGAATTCGAAAAAAAAGAAGAAAAGTGACAGAAGAAGAGCAAAGAATGATTTATACTGCTAAGGAGATGAAGGAAATGACACTAAGGTGAGCATTGGCTCTTTACGGGAGGGTGTTCCGAGTTGCTGGTTCATAGTTTGTAGTAACGTTTTGTTCAGTTTCAAACTTAAGCTCAATCCTGGAGTGTACGTTTCTCGGTTATTTTAAATCTCAGTTGTGTAATAAGAAACTGTCTCCCTCCATTTTACCAACCCCAAGTTTATCCCACAAAAAAGTATACATAACAACATGCAACAATACACACATTCTATTTTTATTATATAAGCTCAATACACTTTCGTGTTTCTATTTTAATTGGTCGTTTGTAACGAGGAAAAGGAACAGAACTCTAATGAAATATGAAAATCTTTTGGAGAATATGACAAAAAATAGTCTGAAAAGTAATGTATGTTCATCTCTTGCAATCAAATATTAAGAAGAATAATAATAACTATACTGAACATATGCATTATCAGAGACCATGGTTGATTGACGACATTTCACGAAATTAAGAAAGTGTGGCGGGCTACTGTAATTGTTAAAGAAGCTAAAGTAAAATTCAAGCTGTGTTTATCAGTGAGAGAAATGTATTTTTGAATCCAGATTGATTAAATATTGCTAGATGAAGACAGATTTGCCAATTTTGTGAAAAGTGAGTAATTTTCAGGAATTGGTTTGATAGTTGAGAGCAAAGAGGTTTCCATTATTAACAGGTCTTAAAATGTTCAATCCAGTTATGAATGTGTTAATAGATCCACCAAAAAGCCATTAAACAACTGCAACAGTTCACTTTTAACAAAATAATCAATGCTTGTTGATTTAACCTTAGTTTTTAAACGGCCTGACCCAACCCTCTTTATAGACTGCAAAAACCATATTCTTAATTTGCAGTCATGACAAAAAAAATAAGCAAGAAATTTATGACTGTTAAGTAAGAGGTTAATAAAAATAATAATAACTGAATTGAACATTTTATGACCTTTTCATGAAATTAGTACAAGTTGAAGTAGTAAATAATAAATTTAACATCAAGGCTGCCATTTCCGTCCAGTAGACTGTCCACATTTGGTATCCTCCTACCCCACATTTCTCCTTCCTTCAGGGACACTATGTCCGAGTCTAGCACTTGTTCATTGTCACTTCCAGGGGCCATTACAATTCTTCAAAAAGAAAATAGAATATATATTTACATATCATAACATTGTTCCACTCAACAATCATTGTGTATTTTTATGCCAGATATCCGTATTGTCTCTCAGCTTAAACAGGAGTAGTACATGGGTGGGTTCGGCTTTGAACACAGCCGTAAGCAAGTTCTGGCACAGTCATATACAAATAGGTACAATGAAATGTTTTTTTCATGCAACACACAGACAGCAAATTTAGTGTTATGCATCATTTCTTCTAAAGCCCCCTTAGTTATAAAGGTGATTTTTTTCCAAACATAATATCAATTTCCCTTTGACAATCTATGAACAAATTCTCATAACCTTTTCTCCTGGTTTAGTATAATTCGATTTGTGATGAAAATAGTGTTGGTCACTCTTGGGACATGAAAGAAGGCAAGGGTAGCATTTTCCTTTAAGTGCACTCACAAACACTCTGCATGAAATAATTAAAGTTCTTACTGAATTTCCCCAGTAACTGGATGGAATGCTGAGAGCAGCTGCAGGAACAATTTTTGTTGTCCGGAGTACAGTCCTCTCCATCTGCAGTTGTCATCTATAAATGGCCCACTTGTAAGGGGCTTGTCTCCAATGGCATCTGAAGCTTGTTGTCTCCTGCTCTCCACAAAATTTGGAATTCTCCAGCAAAAGGAGACAACCCTTTCCACTTTGGGCTCTATGGGTTCTATGTTGCATTTCTGAAACAGAAATGGATTTTATGGATATTATGAAATGCACCAGAAAAAGATTTTCAATGTAAGATTTTGAAGGTAAATGCAACAGTTGCCATCCTTTTTTCCACTTACTTCGCTGGTTTTGGCATTTAAAAGAGTGCATGTTTTATTGATTTTTAGGTTGGTGAAAAGGCAGCTTACCTTGTAGTATATTATTCCTCGCAGTCGTTTGATTTCTCCTGATTGGAGTGCAAAATGCGAGGTACTTGCTTCCTTCAAATGGACATTCATGTCCTTCTTTTTCACAATTTTTTTGCAGCCAGGTACTTGGCACATTGAAGCCTTCTCTGGGCATTTGTGTAGATGTAGGTTGATGTTCATTCTACAATTCAAAAAGAGGTATGTGTTAGTTCTAGATCTTCCATTTTGACTGGTATCATATATTCCAACAGTGGTTTGAAAAAAAAAAAAAAGTGGGAAAAACATGACACCTCAAGGGTCACGCCAATTGGCTCTGTAGATTAATTGACCTTGATATAAACTTTGGGGCTTTGGGGAGAGCGGTGGTCAGGGGGACTTAAAGTAATTGGAAGTATCACTAGGCCCCTCTCTTAGATCCCCACTGAAAAATAGGCATTATTTCTGTTTCTCAAATCGTTTCTTGCTTATGAAATTTAATTCCTCTCTGTCAGTTATTTTTAAGGAATGCAGCTGATCGCGTGGCACCAGACACAAGTTAGGACTGCTCGTAGTCCTCGATTTGGATAACAGAAGGATAAGTTTGTCACCTGCTATTGACGATTGAAATGATAAGAGAATACAGCAATACTGCAATTCATGCTAAAAATTACCGAAAAATACTTCACTTATGACAATCGCCTAACACCAAAATATCGCAATGCTGAATTATCCTAATTAATACAACATACCGTGGTAATGATGCTCCACATCTCAAGGGGCATAGAACTGCAGAGTTTCTGCATAAAGATGTACGGTGGAATTGGAGTCTTTCCCTGGTTACGCTCAGTTGGCATCCTGAACATGCGATCCTTTCTTTTGGGCAAGCGTGTGCTGTCATTTCTTCCCGTGCCGCCACGTGCTGGCATCCTTCGTTGGGGCACCTCTCTCGTACTTTTGGGCAATGTCTGAGGTGATCGTTGGCATCGCTATAGTTGCCCTTCCACTGGCAGCCTTGGCTGTTACATTTAACAGGCAAATCTCGGGTCGCCTTATCCATTGCCACATTTAACCTCAGCTCTTCTTTTCGGAACCTTGCCCGACACTGGGGACACAACGGTGTGGCTGTCGATTCTGCCCAAGTTTCCATGCAATTTTTGCAGCCAGAGTGCCCACAGGCAAGGGTAACGGGCCTTGACACGATGCTATAACTGAAAAGGAATGTGGCGGTATAATAGCACTGGAAATGAGCGGTAACAAAAACGATGGCAAAATATGACAGCCAGCAATGATATTCAACTCACCAAATACAGCATTCCAAATCCACTGTCCTCAGAAAAGTTAATTCGTTGGACTTGGAAACCACTTCGGTCTTTTGATGAGACATTGTTACGGACTAAAGGATTTTCGATCACGGTCTGTCGTAATAAAGTTTCCTTGTCAGTGTAAGCTGCTCAAATAACCTCTGATGACAACGGTGTGATTTTTAAAGGTCAATATTTCCGTTGTGCGGTTAATAAATTAATTTCTTTTGTTTAGGTTCTGGTATTGGCGGTAATATTGGTACCCTTATTATTGAAATCTTCATTAAGGTCGTGAATTTAATGGGATGCTTTGTCTAGTCGGCTTAGTCCTTCATATTTAGGTCGTCACGTTAAGGGGTTCCTTAGTCTCTTACCTAAACCTGCTCCATTATTGATGTCTGTCCTTTGTAATAATGACATATTCACGGAGGGGACACCACGCTAAAGGCTAGAAAGAGTTTCAGTCACGTGACGTCATTAAAATTAGAAAATAAGAAATTATCAATCCCTTTTGATGAGGCATTTTACCGAATGTGAGATCTTCGATGACGGCCTGTCACAGTTAAAATTTTCCTTCTTTATAGTATAAGCTGCTCAATTAAACTCAGATTACAACGAGAGTATGATTAGCTTTTAAAGGTCAACATTTCCGTTGTGCGGTTAATTAATTAATTTCCTTTGTTTAGGTTCTGGTATCGGCGGTAATTGGTACGCTTATCACTGAATTGTTCAGTAAGGTCGTGAAGTAAATGGGATGCTTTGTCTAGTCGGCTTAGTCCTTCATATTTAGGTCGTCTTCTAAAGGGGTTCCCAAGTCTCTTGCCAAGTCTCCTAGGACCTTTCTGAAAACCACAGTGATGTAATGAAATTTTCCTGATGAAAGATTGCTATTGTTATTATTAACCCACTCCATTATCGATGGCTGTCCTGAGGGGATGCCACGCTGAAGGCTAGGAATAGTTTCAGTCGCGAGCGCGCTTTATCTGGTTTTCACGTCACGTCTTCAAAATTAGAAAATAAGGAATTATCAATCCCTTTGAGATTTTAGTTCGGTTAGTTATAAGAACTGTTGAAGACTTACTTTTTACAAATTTCCAGCTTGTTAGGGTTTTTCGTCTTGTGAGAAAGCAAGATTGAATTTCTAAGCTTTGGCGCGAAGCGACATTAAAATGGCGGCCAAGAATGCTGTCACGTAGGTTTAAAAAAAAGTGACATCCGCTTAGATTTCGCGATCTGAACAGTCCTAGTATGAGAATAAGTACTCATATAGATGATTATAAGTCCGCTGAAGACGGCTACAGGATTTTCTGTCTTTTTGATTCTTGACTTTATTTGTTGTACGTTTTGATGATGGCGTGACAATGAAAACCGGCAACTTGTGATACAAATCTCGCGCGTGCAGTTGAGGCATATTCGTAATTATCGTATGACCCGTCTGGCCCCGCTCGCCTAATCCCCTAGAAAACCACAGTAAAAGCTGACGTGTACAGGGCCGGACGGGTTGACTTAAGCCGGTCAGGAAAAAGCCGTTTTTCAAGAAATTGGGAGTTTCTTGTTATGACTTGAAAAAATAAATAAATGTCAGTTTGCCGGCCGGAAGGTTCGTACGGTGAAAAACTATGATCGAGGTCTTGATGTACATGCAGCATTTTCAAGACCGAGGTCACAGTTTTTCACCATACGGATCAACCCTTAGCCGGTAAATAACATATTTTTTTTTTAACTTGACGAAATTCTTTCCGAAAGAACCCGAATGATTTAGGGCTGTAAATACGGCAAGATCTTCCATAAACTGAACAATTTTTTAACGAGTAAATGGTAGTTAAAAAAGAGGTGATGCAAATTAAAGAGAGATGCCTTACCGAAACATTTTCATTTGCGTAATGATAAAGGTGATTTAAAAGGCTTCCAAACAAACTTTGAAACATTATTTTTACCAGTATCTGTCACTGTCTGACACCTGTCAATAAGAGAGCGCGTAAGAAAAGAAACAAAAAAAAAAGTAAGAACATTTGAAAAACAACGGAACTAGTTTGGCAAGGACTGTCACGACAATGTTTCCTTCAAAAACATTCAATGACCTAAGGGAAAGTATTATTCACTGTCATCGACGATTCATTCATGTACGAAGATTTACCTCTGTTCATTAAGTAAACGGCGAGGAAGGTAATTGTGAGTAAATTCAAATTTTTTCTATAACAGCGCCGGTGCTTGCCCTATTTTAGTCCTATTGAGCCGCTATGAACAAAATCCTTATTTACGCACGCCCGTGCGTAAATAAGATGACGTGAGCATTTTTTTTAACTTGGCTTCAGAGTTTCCATCCTGTTAAGCTGCGGTGCAGTTTTCCTTCTCTTTGAAATATGGAAGAAACCAGAGAAGAACTGGCCAATTTTTCTATCGGCATTGACCGTTTGGGTCTTGATCCAACAAGCAACAGAAATAAAGCCGGAAAAAACTCCCAAGTTGCACGTTTCGCAAATTTGTCGTAAGACCAGCTGGAGCAAATTTTGGCCGAAAGACAGACATTCACTGGGAATAAAAAATAGTCACCAATTGGTCATAAACGACATTCAAAGGTAAAAGTTCCGTTTTTTACTGTCGTTTTTAAATTTGTTCAACCTGGGGAATAAAATACACAGTTAATTGGAAATTTACCAAAACCAGAACAATCGCAATTGCACTCTATCACAATAAAAGGTTTCTTCGCGCAGATTCTTGTTGTTGCTCTGTTATAAAAGAATTTGCTCATGCTTTTAGCTGTGCGTATATCAGTTGAGTTATGGATGCACTTGGGAAGTTTGGAGAGCACTCAAAAAGCTAGAGTTGCTCTTGGCTGCGCCTCGAGCTACTCTTACGCATTTTTCGTGCTCTCCAAACTTCCCGCGTGTATCCATAACTCGATATACGCACGCTCAGCATGAACAAATTCTTAAATTTTGTAGTTGTGCGAGTTTGCTCATTTGTTTGCTGCCATGTCGTGTGTAAATCTGGTCTTTCCTCCACAAAAACTAAATTCGAATGGCACACTCCAAGGGGATTTAATGCGCCATTCTCTCAATAAATTCCTTCAGTTTCTGTTGTGCAATTTACGGTACAAATGTCCAAATTGAACGGACGCGGAAAGACTCACAGAGAGCGTATATTTGTTGTAGAACTGAATGTAAAACTTCGCTCGCTCTTTCGCTACGATACCTCACGTTTTAACTTTTTAGGTACTTTTTGTGAACGATTAAAATTAACTGCTGACGGTTTTTATGCCGCTTGTCAACCAACGTAATGACACTATTGCTTATACAAATTCATTCTGAAACCAATATTTTTCTGTCAACCAAAGTGATTTGAGAGAGAGAAAAGAGAGGATTCATAAGTTATTTATCGGCTTGAGGTAGTGACCGACGTGTCTGCCTAAAAATACTACCCAGACGGAAAAGCGAGATATATTTATAAAAATGGCAACGAAATTTGGGATGTACTCAGCGATTCACGAAGGCGTCACCGTGGCCCGTGGGCAGAGATAAGAAAATACTGACCGGGTAAAGAACCAATCAGACTGCAGGATTCGTTACCGTGCCCTCTGAAAAAAAAGTAAAGGAAAAGTTTAAATTTCAGAATTTCTTTTTTGTGCTCGTGTAGCTGAGTGTGCCCGGGCCGGACGGGAAAATATTTGGTTCTCGATCATGAGACACGGACCTCGTTGCGTTCGGTCCGTACGTCATGAATTCGAGCTAAATATTTTCCCGTCCCACCATAATACTGATTTAGTTTTCGATTTTGGAGGCACGACTGGATGTGTCCTATGGTTTACATGGTGACAATTTTTTTTTCTTTTTTTTGTTTACTTTATTTTCTACACGTTCCCACAAGCTTGCAGCTTTAAACCTCACCATGTTTGAATAAGGTTTATTGTAGTGCACATGCATTGTATTTTTAAATTATCTGGGGAAAAATGATGTTATGGTGTTTCTTTTATTTCTGTGCCGAATTTTATACTAGTAGTATAGTTTACTACTATACTTATTACGAAGAGCCAAACTGTTTTGAGAAATAATTTGAAGAACTTTTCTCGAAAAAGGGCAATCTGTTTTGAGCTATCTTAAAATGAAACGCTGTAGACTCCGTTAAGAGACAAATTTGCTTAAAAAAAACCTTTTAAAATACCTTAACCTTTTTCAGGGAGTTTGACATACGAATCGGTCCCTGAAGGTTAATATTGTTCACACTTTAACACTGACATGTCTCAAATGCTGCAGAATTAATCAATCAATCCAATTAAGCATATATGTAATTCTACCTTTTTCAACCCAGTGTAATGTTTTCAATTAGGTCATTACTCTTTTTGACAATCCATTTTGTATGCCCAGGTTAACAGTTTGGGTTATGAGCTAGTTTTATTCATAGGGTTAAGCATTAATTTTGAATTTGCTAATGGTGAGGAAATCAGACTTGTTACTTCTGGGTCAGTTAATGGCCTTCCTTATTTTTACCACAGGTGACATTCCAAGGAAATGTCCCAGATTTGCAGTCTGATGGCGAACTGTCATCCACACTACCAGGTGATGAATACAAATATTATATCAAAAAATAATTAAAAGAAAATGAAAAAACAGTTTGAAGAATAAAAATGAAGTACCTTCAAATGACACTGGACAAAAGGAAGCAAAGTATGAAGACATGTAACTAAGATCACGATGAAGTATATTAAGACCAGACAAGAAAAGCAGGCCCAGTCTTAACATGGGTTAATGCAATCCAAAAGGAAATTGCAGGTAACCTGCATTTCTCAGAGATAATAAGCTGAAATTGAGATAAAGATGAGGACTTAACAATGTTCCTAAATACAAGGAAAACATGTTTCACAAGAAATTGCCTTTAAATTCCAAAAATCAACACTATCATATATCACGTTATATGTTGACAGGCTTATTACATTAACACTTTTTTCACAGGCTTAAGTCTAGAGGTCACCACACAATTCATTGCATTTCATGAATTAATAACCATCACCTGTGTTGCTTGAGCCATTACAGCAAATAGCATAAGTTTAAAAAGAAATAAAAAATATAAAGTTCAAAAGTGTTTGGTTCACAGATTTTTTCCCAACAACTAGCTCATCTTATCAAATCGAAGTAGGATGGGAAATACATTACCATAAAAATTAATGATGGCGAACTGTCATGCAGTCGGATGACAGTTCGCCATTAACTAATTAATTATATAAATTTATATAATATTGCATACTAAGACTAATTATTGTCACAACAGATGAAGATCGAGACACCGGAAATAAAAATGAGGTAAGGGAAGTAATGCACATTGACATGTCACGTAAAATTATTGGAGGTATGCCTTTATTATCAAAACCCTACAAATAGCATGTTACATTGTCATGTTTTAAAGATAATAATTTCTTTGTGAGCCGCGACACTTTGGGCAGACTGACAGGTCCCTTGGGACGAGGTTCTTCGTGAGCCGCGACACTTGGGGCAGACTGACAGGTCCCTTGGGACGAGGTTCTTCGTGAGCCGCGACACTTTGGGCAGACTGACAGGTCCCTTGGGACGAGGTTCTTCGTGAGCCGCGACACTTGGGGCAGACTGACCAGTCCCTTGGGACGAGGTTCTTTGTGAGCCGCAACACTTGGGGCAGACTGATAGGTCCCTTGGGACGAGGTTCTTCGTGAGCCGCGACACTTGGGGCAGACTGACCGGTCCCTTGGGACGAGGTTCTTCGTGAGCCGCGACACTTGGGGCAGACTGACCGGTCCCTTGGGACGAGGTTCTTCGTGAGCCGGGACACTTGGGGCAGACTGACCGGTCCCTTGGGACAAGGCTCTCCCTAAGCAGCAATACTTGGTGCAGACTTACTAGACTGGTCCTCTTGTGACAGTACTTATGTTAAATGAACACATTTAGGCTGAAGTACTTATAAAAGACATGTCAAATAGCATATAAACAAAAAAACTTTCGTGAATAAAAAGAACTGTCATGGCTTCCTCCTGCATAACACTAACATTAACACCTAATCAAATAATACTTACAACAGCAGGGTTGAGCAACTGACAGTATATATTACCACATAGTTTTAAATAAAGGTCATGACATTATATAAACAACTTATCAACATAAGTTAATTAGAGACATAATGAAATAGAGATCATGTTTTTATGTAATTAGCTTAGTAACATCTTTTACTGAGTGTTTAAGAAATGGTATTGAATGTCTCACTTTGATTTACCATTGAAACATGAGGTCATGGAATTAGATAAGTTCATGTAAGTTTCATTAGTATCTATCTTTTTTATATTTAAATTTATAAAACTATCTCTTCATAATAATGATCATGCTATTAAGGGGAATAAGGGCTGGAGCCAGTCATGTCTTGGTTTAACTGTTGGTGATCTTTATTGTGAGCTATGGCTAAGTTGTTAGTTGTTAAAAGTAAGTTAGACGTGACTCCTGTGGGTGGCATACTTCCCTTTTCTTTTTATCTCATTTCAGGAATTGCTCCCAGTACCTGGAATTGTTCTTGCGCAAGCAGGTAAGAAGCATATAGATAAGAGTATAATACTCAGTATTTAACCTACTAGTAAGGATCCTGATTGTAATGTTGGTAAAAATGGCCAGCCCTGACAGTAGTTGATCCACTGGCATTCTACTGCATTTTATGGGATTATGTCATAATAATATATCATTACAGCTCCTTGTGTTATGAGGCAATGGCAGTCTTTCATCACAAAATTCATTACGCCTAAAGCAATTAATCAGCAAGTCACGCAAAATGATCATACTCTATTAGAAAACATGCGTTACGGAGTGTTATTGCCCCGAGGACCATGGATTATGGGCGTTTCCTACAGGTCCTTTTTGCTTAGGCCCTTACTTAAACTGGCAATGTATAAAGCACTTCTGTCCTATCTAAGAATCCTACAAATAGGGTAATATATAATTTAAATCAACAGCAAGAAAAAGACAATTATTTGTCAACTACAACCTCTAAAATTATATTTTTGTTCCAGAGGAAGGACAGGAAGTACTGGTGGCCAAAAGACAAGTGAACACGGAAGAGGAGGAGAAGGTAGAAGATGAAGAAGAAGAGGAAAAGAGGGAACATAGAGAAGAAGAGGAGAAGGAACATACCAGTAGTAAACTTGAAAGGAAAAGGAAAAAGAAGGACAGAAGAACAACAGCAAAAAGAAAAAGGAAAAGGAGGACAGTTGTTAAAAAAAAGGATTTTAAAGGGACCCTGGTCAGCTGCACTTTTGTTTTTGTTTACCTTTGGATTTTCAATTTTTCAGAAACTGATGTACAAGTTGTTACTTTTATGCAGTAATAGTTATGATTTGAAATTAAAAGTTAACCCTTTAACTCCCAGATCAATTTGTTATTCTATTCAATGTCAACCGTACAATTCTTTTAATGTTAGTTCAGAGAATTTAGTATTGGATCTACTAATTATCCCCCAATTGATCTTTTTCTTTATTCTCATCACTTATCTTGTTACTATCGTAAGGAGAAATTCTGTCTTGGTCACTCATGGGAGTTATAGGGTTAGTGTTGCACATGCAGTATGGCCTGGTTTACTTGTGTCAGCTATTACTATTTCTTGTATGTTGTGATATACGCTCCTCGTTTGAAGGACTTTGTCCTCTCTCTTGGAGGTTTTGTTGTTGTTGTTGTTTTGTTTTTATTTTTTTGAGGAAAAAATCTCACTTTGAGGAAACTGTTCACATTGAGACTTAGGAGTGTTAAGCTTCCTGAAAATTAGCCACAAATACCATGTAGTCAAAGGAGCACTTTAGTTCCTTAACTGTTTATCACACTTAATCTAAGTCTCTTATCCCCTTTATGGCTTTTGCAGTCTATAAAGAGGGCTAGGTCAGGGCGTTTAAAAACCAAGGTTAGATCAACAAGCATTGATCATTTTGTTAAAAGTGAAGTGTTGCAGTTGTTTAATGGCTTTTTGGTGGATCTAGTAACACATTCATAACTGGATCGAACATTTTAAGACCTGTTAATAATGGAAACCTCTTTGCTCTCAACTATCAAACCAATTCCTGAAAATTACTCACTTTTCACAAAATTGGCAAATCTGTCTTCATCTAGCAACATTTAATCAATCTGGATTCAAAAATACATTTCTCTCACTGATAAACACAGCTTGAACTGTATGTTTATTTTATATATTCTTTTAACAATTACATTAGCCCGCCACACTTTCTTAATTTCGTGAATTTCGTTATTATTATTCTTCTTTAGTTAATATTTGATTGCAAGAGATGAACATACATTGCATGTTGTTATGTATACTTTTTTGTGGGATAAACTTGGGGTTGGTAAAATGGAGGGAGACACTTTCTTATTACACTACTGAGATTTAAAATAACCGAGAACCGTACACTCCAGGATTGAGCTTAAGTTTGAAACTGAACAAAACGTTACTACAAACTATGAACCAGCAACTCGGAACACCCTCCCGTAAAGAGCCAATGCTCACCTTAGTGTCATTTCCTTCATCTCCTTAGCAGTATAAATCATTCTTTGCTCTTCTTCTGTCACTCTTCTTCTTTTTTTTCGAATTCGACCGAAAACATACTCCTAAAAAGTCCCGAATTCACGAACTAAACTCGACAAATTTGCCAGAAACATGGCCACTCTCGCTCGTCCCATGCTCCCTCCCAAGTCTTGGTACCAGATTACCTCTCATTTGCTGAATGAAGATTAAACCGAGCTCGATATCAAATCGAGCTCAATATGAAACCTACAGAATGCGAGGCAAACCGTGCTCGATAGAATACGTGGCAAACCGAGCTCGATAAAAATAACTGAGGTCGATAAGAGCAGATTGAGTTCGTCGAGCTCGTCTTTTTAATCGAGCACGATATAGTTGAATCGAGCTCGAATAGAATTGACTGCATTTCGAGCTCGTTGAACCGAGGTTGGTTTGAAATGGTACTCGAATTGCTATTCGAGTACGGTGAACATGAATCGAGCTCGGTTGCCCAGATACTAAATGTGGTCCAACGTCGTTTGCTTATCGAGCAGGAATGGTAATCGAGTACGACAAATCGATATCGAGCTCGGTTGCCCAGAAACAAATATTGATCCCCAGTGTGTATCACCGAATGGTGAATCAACGTCAGTTTGAAAGATGGCATATTCGATCGTAATCTTCCATCCATGAAAGTGACGTGACATGCTAGGTGATCGTACTCGGCGATGAACGACAATTTGCCGAACATTGCCCTCGGATTTCCGAGCATTTCTTTCCCGCTAAGCTTCGTTCTTTGGCGGGCATTTTCAAATATGTAAATGCAGATTTTCTATTAAGGTTCCGCGACTGCTAAATCTGGAAGTTTAGTAAGAACTGTGATAGCCCAGCTAACCCTTTTAGAAATGGCTACGCCAGTAAATGTCGAAGAACGCCACACAGATGATCTTGTACAATTAAACAGTACTTTGAGTACTACTGCTCATGCGGTATGTTCGTGGGAGCCGAAGTTTAAAGGATCTACAAGCAAGTATGGTTATGTCGAGTCAGTTGAAGCAGCCATGGCTGTGATAAAGCAATATGAGATAGAAACCACGACAAAGTTTTCCTGTTTTAAATCTGACAAGATGTTTGGGGCTGGAGGTGAGTCTATTATGCATGCAAACATGGGAAAAATATACATTTAGATTGGGGGGCATAGGCGGACGAACAGGAGGGGGGGGGGAGGCGGCAGCCCCCAGTCGTAATTTTTTTTCGGACAAAATTACCCTGCGAACAGAGTCTCTTCGATCTTCTTACCCGACTGATCTAGGAAGATCGACTCTGCTCGCTGGGTAGGACAAAATGCCCATGATTCCAGCAAAAGCACATGGAGAAAACAAACAAAAAATCCCATTAATTAATAAAATGGGTTTCAAGAATTCAAATTTGGATTCTGGAATTGTGACACTAGTTTCGTGAGACACGATAATTTTAAACAGTTTTTTTTTTTTTTAATTTAGGTCAAGGTCACCACCTTCCCAAGTCCGAAAGGTGCGCCCATACGCCTATGGGTGTGTGTGTGTGTAGGGGGGGGGAGGTTACTCCCATAGTGGACTATGAATGTTGAGAGGCTGTGCATGAAAGGGTTACCTTTTTCAGGTCAAAAGTAGTAGATGAAAAGATAAGGGTTTGGACCACTGGACAGATCCCCCTATATAAAAAATTATTGAGTAGAACCCCCCCTCCCTCTCACTGGGATGTCCAGTAATATCTGTCTAAAAATTACAACTAAGGTTAGCTGATGTTTGTATTGTCATATAGGCTTATTGACTTTATTAAGAATGAATTTCACCTGATCTGAAAAAAAATGTGTGGGTTCTTGCTGGATTCAACTGTAGCTTACGTGCTTGGGTTAAGCAGGTGAGGGCTATGGATGAATATTAGATAAAGGTGAAGCAGGTAAAAAAAGAAACAAATTGTGTCATTTAATCTTTGAAATAAAGAACAGAAATGCTTGATAAAATGACCAGTGCATTAAATAAAATACAAACAAAAATTCCTTCTTTGGATGTTGTCACAGATCCCTTTGCCAAGCCAAGAAAAGTTTATTTTAAAGATGACAAAATCCCATTTGATGGAGTGCCCTTCAGTATCATTGGCTCAAAGGTGTTTGACTGCCAACATCGTCCAGACAGAAAAAAGGCATTCAAAGCAAGACAAGCCAATGAGAAGGTATGTTTTTGACAAATTAAAATTCCAAAAAAAATCTATTTCTTCCCCATCTAAGTAACCTTTTGTTTTTGTTTGTTTCTTTTCTTACATTATTATTTCTTCTTAACTACAGGCTGGCGATCACTCCTTCAAAAAGAAGAGATTTTTACCTCAAGACACCATGAAATTCGGGTGCACTGCAAGTATTCGTCTATCAGAAGTTATTACATATCCAAGTTACAAGGTACTTCAGTCTGTAAACAATGAGGTGATGATGATGATGAAGATGATGATGATGATGATGATGATGATTATTATTATTATTACTATAACTATTGCTGTGTGCTATTGATAGCGATGTTTTCAACATATTTTTAAGTATAGTAACCTCAATACTCATAATTTATTATTAGTCTGTACTAAATTACAAGTAAAAGTTTTGTTAACAATAACTCTTTACAAGTAGATCAGGGATGACACAGAGAGACTTCGACGGGACATGTCCAAAAAGCTAAAGACTGATACCAACAGTGGACAAAAACCTCCATATGAACGTAGAATCTATATCTACCTACCAAAGGAGGATGAACACAAAGACCATATCACTGGCGAGGTTTGTTAAGCACCCGTCCGATGAATGGTCTTACAAGTAAACCTAAGATCATTTTTATAAATTTTTCTGTACTGATAAATGAGACAATGGTGAATTTTAAGCTTGGAAATAAAACTGCTGAACCTAGCAGTATGCATGCAGGATGCATGTTAAATGGGCTGGCTCTCCGGGAGTTCTTGTAGCTCACTGGAAAGAGTTTCTGCCCGACGTTTGGGATGTCATGGGTCAATTTCTGTCAGGGACTCAGCTTTGTTTCTTTGCTTCATGCTTGTGTCATGTTGATGCTATCATCCTTTTCACATTTTTCTGTACTGTCACTTACTTTCTTAATCTACCGTTTTGTCTATTAAACTGTATTTTGATTTTAAGACAGGATCAACAAAATAAACAAGTTCATTCTGATTAATTTGTGCCCATAATTTAAAAGGAAAGTCAGGTCATCATGCAAAGTGTAATAAGTCGATACCAGAAACTGTAATTTAAAGTACCCATGTCAGTAGCAATATACCTCTAATCGGATGCCACTGACATCCTGAGTAGAATAATTATTACTCTACTCAGGCTCAGTGACAACTATTCCACAATATTGGCTTAACCTCGTGCGGATCATCGACCATTCAGTATTATTATTAATTATACATATTAAATTATATATTTGTATAGTTATTAACACAATTTTTTTCCTTCTTTTTCAACAAATAAGGTTGGTGGTCTTCTGCAACCAATTGACAAACGGCTTGTAGACAAGATTGAAGAGCTTGTTGGTGAAGGTGTTAAAACTGTTGATGAAATGAAAAGACACCTTAAACA